TTTCTGAGCTCGAGGCCATGGTATCCCAATGCTGCACACTTTCTCCTACTGCCTCCCCCAGGGGTTGACTTGCTCAGGCCCCTCCATTGGTTCACATGTGGAAAGGTGTGCCCTGGGTGTGTGACCAAGTCCCAGCAGGGTTAAGAGGGAGGAATGAGGGTTTCCCACTAGGGGGGGTGCACCAGGGCCGCTGGTTAAGAACCATTGACTGGAGCTTGCAGAGCGCACAGGTGCACTGGACCAAAAATAATGTCAATGCCCAGATTGAATCAGCTCTGAAGTGGGGAGCAAATCATAATAATTATTATTTTTATAGCTTTTCCTATATTCTAGGCCCTGTTTGAAGCATTCAGATTGTTTTCACACAAGTATAGGAGCTCTTTTTTCATTATTTATTTATTTTTAGGGCTCTGTCTCACTTTATTGCCCTCAGTAGAGTGCTGTAGCGTCACAGCTCACAGCAAGCACCAACTCCTAAGCTTAAGGTGACTCTTTTGCCTCAGCCTCCCAAGTAGCTGGGACTACATGCACCCACCACAAAGCCCAGCTATATTTTTGTTGTAGTTTGGCTGGGGCAGGATTTGAATCTGCCACCCTTGGTATAAGGGGCCTGTGCCATACCCACTGAGCCACAGGCACTGCCTAGTATAGGAGCTCTTACCAAGCACATTTTACAGATAAAGGAAACTGAGGCTCAGAGAGGTTCATAATTTGCCCAGAGTCACACAGCACTGGAATCTGAATCCAGGAGGTCTGGCTTGACTCGAACCCCATCTGCATGACTCCAGAGGCTGTAACTCAAACCTGCCACTTGCTGCATCCCAAACACCAGGTGAAGGCAAAGCAGAATGTGGGGTTGCAAGGGCAGCTGTGTAAACTGGGACAGATCACCAGGTGCCTGATGCACTTGGCAGGGGAGAGAGTACGGTCCTAGGGCTCTATACCTCCCCTCCCCCACGCTGGGGTCACAGGTGCAGGATGAGCTAAAAGTGATCAATCTGATTAATAAACTTCATCAGACTTGCTGAAGACCATCTAGTGCTTGCAGAGCACATCATAGCCTCTTCCATCCCAGACATCGGGCAGCCCTGGGCAGCCCCCTGAAAGCCTAAGATGCCCTGATCATTGTGACAAACCAAGCCACCTCCCCTCTCCAACCAAGTGTTTGCAAAATGCCCTACCCCAACCCCCCAGGAGATCATGTAGCCCCCATTAAGAACTCCTGAAATATACTCAAGGGAGAGGGGCTTCTGCTTGGCCTTTGTATTAGGTGCTAGGGCTGCCCTAACAAAATATCACAGGCTGGGTGGCTTAAATAGCAGTAACCTATTTTCTCACAGTTCTAGAGGCTGGAAGACCACTATCAAAGTGCTGGTAGGGCTGGTTCCTGGGGAGGCCTCTCTCCTCGGTTGCAGATGGCCACTTCTTTGCTGTGTCCTGAGATGGCCTTCCCTCTGTGCTTGCTCAGAGAGTGGGAGAGATCTCTGGTGTTTTCTTCCTCTTTCTGTAAGAACACTAGTCCTAAGGAATTAGGGTCCTACCCTTTTTACCTCATTCACCTGAATTACTTCCCTGAAAGCCCTGTCTTCACATTCAGTTACGTGGGGGTTAGAGCTTTCACATATGAATTTTGGGGAGAAACAATGCAGCCTTGTACTTGTGGGTCTTTCTGCAAACCAGAAGCTCTCCTGGGGCGTTGGTGTTCCCCTTATGGGCTGCAAGATGTGTCACACTCTTCTGTCTCATATTGAGAATGAAACTTTCATTTCAGTAACACTCTGAACTAGGTATTTTTCTGACACACAAATTTCCTCTTGAACCCTCATGACCTTGTGATAAAGTGGGGTCACAGAGACGTGAAATGACTTGCTTGGTTATTGGCCACGTGTAGAACTTCCAGGTAACATTTTCAGTGTCTTTGTAGGAAGGAAGAAAAGTCTTCTGCTCTGCATTTTTTGGGAGTAAAGAATGGGTTTTAAAATTGATCATGGTGATGGTTGCACAACTTTGTGAATATACTGGAAGCCATTGAAATGTACTTTTAAGTGCATGGATTATATATATGGTGGGCGAATTTTCTTTTTCTTTTCCTGAGACAGACTCTTGCTTTGTTACCCTTGGTAGAGTGCCATGACATCACGGCTCACAGCATCTTCAGTCTCTTGGGCTCAAGCAATCCTCTTGCCTCAGCCTCCCAAGTAGCTGGGATTAAAGGTATCCACCACAATGCCCAGCTATTTTTAGAGACAGGGTCTTGCTCTTACTTAGGCTGGTCTCAAACTACTAAGCTCAGGCAATCCACCTGCCTCACCTCCCAGAGTGCTAGGATTACAGCTGTGAGCCACCTCGCCTGGCCTGAATTTTAATTTTTATAGGAACTTTACCCATGGCATCCACACTAGACTTAAGGGAGCGCTGGCTTCCTCTTTCTCTTTTTGTTGTGTTTTTCAATCTGGCAGGGTTATAAGTAACAGTTGTGCTAAACATGTTCATACACATACACACATACATACACACACAGACACACGTCCCTAATGAATTCCTAAGAACAAATTCCTAATGGCACAGTATGGCTGTCAAATCTTGAAACGTGGCTGTTCCAAAGGGACTTGTTATAACAAAGAATGTACAGTATTTCATTAATAATTATTTTACATTGATGACATGTCTGAATGACAATTCTGTGTATTTCAGGATAAATGAAAGCAATTTTTAAAATTCACTTCATCTGTTTTTTTTTTTTTTTT